GAACATTAATTAATTAATTCTCTCCAATAATTTTCTTTCCAATTCAAGCAGATAATAAATTAATGAAAAATTAAGATTATGAGTTGATGACTAAGGTAAAACAAAAGAGAATATTAAATTAGACTTACAAGAGTTGCAGCCAGTGAGTCCTTATTCTCAGTAGATCTCTTTATCCATGCTCCATACCATACCATCTGCACTCCCCAAAAATACACTATTAACAATCAAACTACAAAAGAATTGTTACATATATGCAGAGGCAGAACTAGGTGGGGTTCATGGGTTCGGACGAATCCACTAGCTTTTTTCGTAGACCTTATAGTTGTATTAGAAAATTAAATAAATTATGTATATTAACTTGTGAACCTCCAAATGAATTGATTTAGAACCCCCAAACTCTTAACCTTGGTTTCGCCTCTACATATATGTACCTATCTTTGTTCACAAGGGTGCAATTCAATCTTCTTCGTCAAATAATTATACAATGTAAATACGATAAAAACATTATATATATATATATATATATATATATACAGGATTGTTGAATCCCCATACGTAAACTTCTAGTGTGGCAAATGTAGGTCACAAATTGCTTTAGGGTGTAATAGTTTCGAATTTTAGGCATTATATTCTTGCAAATTTTTTTCTAAAGGCATGGTATATTTTTGTCCCCCCCTTTTTTTTTTGAATGAGTACCTTATAAAGTTTGTGACTTGGTGATTGCTCTTTCAATTTATCTCAAATAAGTCTTCAATTAAAAATGATGTAAACATCTCGAAGCATTATGAAAACTAGGTTGAAAACAAATATATTTTTTAAAATTTTGATTTATTTATTTTAACCACACGTGCGATATAACAGCCAAAATGCAATAGGTGGGGATATACATGGAGCATTAGAGGTGCTTGAGTTTCCGACAATTTTTTTGTATATATTCTATAGAGAAAATATGAAAAACGGATATAAAAACTAGAGAAGCACCCATTGAACAAAAAAACTAGTTGTTGCTTTGGTTCTGACCCTAATGTTAAGGTGTGCAGGTGCCTACTAGTCATCAGTTTGAATCTCACTAGTGATATTTTTAATTCCAAATCGCACCTTTTCTTACCAATTAATTTTTTTTTTCATACTTATCCTCTCCTTTTTATTTTTTTATTTTATGCAGTGTCATTTAGTTTTTTTTTTTTTTAATTTACTTTTTCTATTTGTAAAAACTTTTTGGTCTCTTTTTCTTTATTGTAACTTGTGATTATAAGTTATTTTTGGTGATGATAAATTAACCGTTGTTTTATCATGTAATTTTTTATTAACGTGCTCGAATTGTTATATATTTATGTACTCTGTGATCACTAGCAATTTTATGTTAAAGAAAGGTGAGCACCCCATGACCTTCAAATGCTGAATTTGCCACTAGCGATAGGTCACGTCCAAACTCATCTCAAGCACAGGTAATACGACTACTAAGTTATTTCTTTGGAAAGCTCCAATTAAAATGAGAAATTATGAAATAAAGTTACTAGTACTAGGTGAACTCATATTGGCCAAAGTAGAAGAGAAGGAAATAGTAGAGAGATTTGACACGATGCTTACTGAATCTTTATAATATTAAACTAATCGAGTTTTATCACTTATGTCGGTCATATAGAGCACCAACATATAGAAAAATAGCTGAAGAAACAAGTCCATGACTTGACATTGATAGAATGCTACCTAGTATTCCATGTATATACGATAGAGTCAAATATTTTCCTAGTATGATCGGAGTATGCACGTACACCGATTACTCCAAACTGTACAAGATAGCTACCACCTAGCTATTTATTTCCAGAAACTTGATAAAAGAATTTAAGTAAAAGAGAATTCAACTCAATAGTGAATAGGATGATCATACCATATTCCCGTGAATGCTTCTAAAAATAGCACTTTGCACACATCCAAGATTTTGAGTAGAAAAAGAAAAATGCTTGAGAGCTTCCACAAGATCATCCATAATCACTATTGTTGGCCTGAATATGAAGAAACTTGTATCCAAGTTTCTGCTATTATATGGAAAAAAACAAGCCATAATTTATATTCTTCTAGCTTCTCGATTTAACTTAATTTTAATATATGATCCTCCTCTCTTATTTTGTCTTAGCTTCTCTTCTAATCATGTATTCATTTGTATTTGTACAAGAAATAGAAAAGGATATTTCAAATTTAGATTTAGTTGGACTGATTGATTAGTTTGTGTTTCAAACAAGGCAGGCAATGAGTCATATATTGATAATATTTCTTTGGTTGGCCAATGGTGTATTTTAAAGAATTTTAGTACTACCAGACAAATATGTTAATTGGAAGGATCCCATTTGGTCTTGCACGCACTTTGACTAGAATCATAAGAGTGGCTAGTTTGAAAATTTGTTCTCAATTTTATCACTTTTAATATTGGGCTTATTATGTAATATTATTATATTATTATTTGACTTTATTAAATTTAATGCTTTGAAAAATATGTTAGATGATAAATAGTATTTAATAGCAAGGGTAAAATAGACCCAAAAGGTAAATTATGTCTTTGTGCATCCTCGTGATTTTAAAAATATTTCATTACCATGTTGTACTAACTACTAATACCATATATAATTGTAAAATTAATATGATAATCTTAAAAATTAAAGAAATAACATGATAATATTCAATTAAGTAACCATGATAAATGATAATGTAACAAAAAAAAATTCATTGTTAGTACATAAATAACGAGTTCTTCTATAGAGTGACACCGTGGGAGAAATTTTAAACTATCAAGTAGCCTAAAAAATAATTTCACGTAAATGTTCAAAGTAATTGAGATTATTATATTAAAAATGAGTCGATCAATAATATGCTCTAATAGATTAAAAATAAATACGTGTGTACGAGGATAAAAATCCAACTCCAAAAAATTTGGTTAAACATATTAAAAATAGTCAAAATTGTTAGCAACTTTTGTTGGAACATTCCCGCAGCCCAACTTGGACTGCCAACTTGTATTTTCTGTTCATTTTAATGGGGACGTGATAGACTAATATGAATTTAGAAATCTTTCATATTTCACCCCAAAAAAAAAAAAGATTAATAATTGAATGATCAACTTGTGCATATCCATTATTGTTGGAAATTAATTTATATGCTTTTGTAGTGCGTACGGTATAGAATTAAATATTGTTTCATTATTTATGTTCTTGGTTTTTCAAGGTGCTTAGAAATCATGTTGAATATTTGCTTTAATAACCACAATAAAAGATAACAAGAGAATTTTTCTTGCCTATATAAAATTTCACCAGTATATTTTCAACTTCAAATTTTCTAAAACTTCAACACTTGGCACATAATTTTAAATTTTGCATATTACATGCAAATATTATTATCAATGCCTAGTTTACAAACACCAAAACCAACTGTTTTTTTTTTCAAACGGCCACAGCGGCTCAACTCCATGTTTGAATTTTTATGTTTTTGATGAGGGAAAAAATATAAGTTAAAATTCAAACTCTAGCCAAATTAATAATTTTTAGTTTAGGTCTAAGACCGAAAATGTGATGGGGAGGTGAACAAAATTAATTAAATACAATTTATCACTAAAATAAACAATACTATGATATAATATACAAGCCGCCACTTAAGATAACTCTTGCATCATCATCACTCGTCACATAGAAAATCTTATGAAATATCACTTAAAATTAGTAACGTCACCACTATTGCGCGTGTTTCATACATATTACTCCATAAGAATGATTATAATTTAACTTTGACATGAAATTTTTTAAAAAAAATATTGTGATTTTATGTCAAATATATTAAAATGATTTGAACCTTAAATATGGCACATAAAAAGTTAGAAATTAAAATATTGGAGTCCATTGAAGAATAGTGAACGTAAAGCAGTTTGCAACATAGGACCTAAATACATGTGATATTAAAAGCAACAAGTTTGTCAAAGTTACTATCAATCACTTGACTTCACCATGTATGAGTATGACAAATGTGGCCACCTCATCCATTGGACCTCTCTAATCTCTACTTTATTATTCCTAAAATAAAGTATTTGTTTGTGAGTAGAAATGAATTCAGAATCTACAACTCCTACCCTCTAATTGAATTCAACAACCCTGATCAATTTCTTGCGACATTATATTCCCTATATATACACTATCCTATTGTATTGTGACCTAAGTTTAATATATATATATATATATATATATATATAT